GGCAAAAGGGACAGACAACGCATGATCAGATAAGTCCAACTTCCTTAGGAAGTCAGCTCAAATTAACAAGCACAGATTCTTCTCCCATAGAGGTGCAGATGGAAAACACCTAATCATCTGAACAAAGAACAAAGCAAAGGGTGAAGGTTAAGGGACACTGCTGGCCAAAAGAAAACTTTTGATCTCCTATGCTATTGTGCTGTGCAGAAGGAAACAGCTCAGAGTCATTTACACACTCGTCTTTTAACCCATTCAAAAATTTTCTGGGTACTTACTACAACTGACAAATTAATATTGCGTGGAGGTGAAGGATGTATTTGTGTAAATCTGATACAGCTACACATATTTCCTGATGTGCTTGAATTTGATGACCTCATGGTCGACACACTTCCTTGAATTCTTGTGCTTTGCAACACAGCATGGAGTAATAATAATGGCCAGTCTTCGCGAGCGAAGATCCGGGGAAGGTCTTTACACCTTCCAGCCTGCGCATTGGATTTTTTAGGTGAGACACAGTGTGCGCGGAACTGAGCCCACCCTTTAATCCTAAGGTTCATCTGCCGGGGCCAAGCGAGCTTGGACAGTGGCAGTGAGGTCCTTAGGACGTAGGTGGGTTGCCTTTAAGGGCTAACGAGCTCCACCTGCCCGGGAGTGGCCCTGACCGGGAATCGAACCCGGGTCTCCGCGGTGACAGCGCCGCGCCTTTACCACTAGACCACCAGGGGCTCATGGAGTAAGCACAGTGAGCAAAAGCACACAAGTCTGATTACTTTGCATATATAAAAAATGCCTCTTATCATGACTGCGACGGCTACCCACTATGCCTTTTCAGTATTTAATACAGGTGCAGAACATAGAAACAAATGCACCCACATTTTTTTGCAGTATATAAACCAAGAATCCAATGAAAACACAGAAAATATTTTCCACTTCTCCAGTGCTTACTGCATTTTACTGACACAGCACTGAAACAAAACACAAATCAATTATTCCAAAGCACATTTCAGTTTTGGGAGGGGGTACTGTTAGCCTCCAGGTAGTTCTCAAGACAGCAAGTCTTCAGAGGGAAATGTCATTAGCCCACAAACTGTGCTTTACTCCATGTGAGGTTCAAGGGCCAGACCACATCACTCAGACTTTTTACAAAGAGGACTGCAGGATAAAATTGTTGTTCCTTATCAGAGTCATGTTATCTGCATAATTCTGTCCATGCTGGTTCTTTTCAGCTTATACGTCCTTATGAACTAGTAAAACATTAAATAAATTGACCTGATTAATGAAGGAATTTATTTTCCTTAATCTGGCAGTGTCCAAAAACTTATTTTGAACTATATGACCTTTAATCTTCTTTGCATCACAGGAAAAGCCTAATTAGTTTTATAAGAGAACACTGATAATTATTGAAGTAATTCCAAGTGTGGTTTTTTTTAAACAACTGGCAATGACCCAAGCGTTGGAATCCTTCATTGTTTACAATGAAACCTTTGGTATTCAAATTATTTTTAAGGTACAATGAACCAAATCCAAAGAAAGTCTGGCTCCGCGTGTACGAACAGGGTATAAAAAGACTGAATGCTGAAATGTGGCTTTCACACTAAATTCTATAGAGAAAAAGGAGCAATAGTTATGTGATTTCCTTTTAGAGTGAATGTAAGGAATGAGAGTCACTTATGAGAAATAAATTGATTTTTTTTACTAATCAAGGAAATGGGCAATTCCTGAAACTATAGATCTATATTTTCTGGTAAAGTCCCATTGTAGTAATCTTTATTGAGACTTTAAAAGCTCTCATGCCTTGCTGTATTTCCACTCTTAGTAAGTACCTGACATATCACATGATGACATACTGCACCATGCTATAATCTGTAGACTACCCTTCCACTAGGGTGGGCAAAAGCTTTACTCTCTGCCACTCCCAAGTGGCCTTGAATGCTGCCATTCCCCTTCCAAAGACAAAGAAGGAAGGTTTACAATATAGTATGACATTATCAGAACAAGCCTGTCCACGTGTAATTAGATAGCAGTTGAACTTCTTTATTTCTTTCACAGGCTGTTTTAGTTGTACCTTACTCCCCTTGAGGTTTTTCTCTTATGCATATACATGTATATCCTCCTTTTAAGGTGTCAAAGTGCAGAAATTATTCCTAAGTATTCAGAATGCACACTTGCTCATGGTGTAAGTACCCCCTCATTCTCTTGCTGTTCACAGCCTTCACTAGCGCCGTGGACCCGAAAGTCAAGCAGGCACACCTAATCCAGCTGTCTGAAGCTAATATTACTCTTCCTTGTCCCCTCTGCTCCTCTCACACAGGATCTTTGCAGATCCCTGCAAATGATTTATGGTGCACTTCTATATCTTGTAGCAGCACAGCTATAACCCAGTACCTCAATATAAACTGACTTATTCATTTTATCCTTTCTGCCCCTCTAATATACTCAGATGCTGCTAAAAAACACAGAATCTCATCTCAATTTTAGCGTGCTCCTTGACGTTATCCCCTCTACAAATATGCAACACTTCTTTAACTGTATTGCCCTAATCAAAATAAATAATTTATTGAAATGCCAAAGGCACAAGATGTAGCTGGTTTACAATTAAATTAACACCTGACTGTCCACATCAAATAAATCCGACTGATCATTCAGTTTAGGAAGAATATTGCTTTAAAAGAAAACAAAGTTCAAATTTTTGTTTTCAATTTCTGCTAAATTATGTCAAATAGGATTCAAACATACACTGAGATCTCTCAGTTCCACAAAAAAGAGATGCTAAAAACTTCCTAAGTATATTCAGAATATCTAAATGAAAAGTTTACATCTTGTCCACTGGTCGAGTTTTTTTATATTAGAAAGTTTATTTATTTTCCTCAAAGCTCTTTAGGTGTTTCATGGAGGGTCTCAGGATGGAAAATGCTGCTATAAAAGTACTCTGCTAGAGCAAATTCTGCACCATTAAAATAATGCTCAGAGAAAGACACAAAGCAATGAAGATATAAACATTTTAAAATAATATGCAAGAAGGCTAGGATCCATAATTTTTATTGCTGTAAAATAATGTTTTCCTATAATTTCTTTTAAAATTTAGGAAAAGCAAATTTCTTTTAAAACTTAGGAAAAGCAGTAATTCGAGTATCTGTGTATAACCCACCAATAAATGCTGAGACAGCGGCATCTGTAAAGGTAATGATGCAGCACCTCATTTAAAATTGAAAGCAGCTCATACAAATGCTACTAATAGAACATAGAGTGATTCAGTTCCACAAGTCTCTCCTGAGGTGATTCACACTTCAAATGAGAAAACAAAACAGAAATTTTCAAGGTCACATCTCACATCTTCCCATCACTTTTACATGACCATCACTACAGCATCTGTAACTTGAATCTGCTCCTTCTCCTCCCCTGCAAATGAGATTCACCTCTTGAAGTTATTTTTTTTTTAATCTTCTCTTCTGAAGAGAAAAGGGTTGAGGAGAGGAAAAAACAACCTTGGATTTTACACACACAAGTCATTCCAAGTTTTCTATCTTTGCTTAACAGGGTTCTTCCTTCCTGCTATTATTAGTAAATCTCACGGTTTACTTCTCTCAGCATTGAGCTGGCAGATAATGTACAAAAGAAGAAGGATTTCTTTCTTATTAGCTTCTGACACCAATAAATTCTGTATAACTACACAGCAGAATGGAAAAATCTCTTCCTGTGGAAGGCTGCTCATCACATTTTTCATGCATTGTTGCTGATAAGTTTAACCTTTTTGTTTCACAACTCAGCAATGAAACAGCTATTGTTTCCAAAGTGCTGAGCAAGTTCAACTGTGGGAATGAGAGACGTGCAGCAATTCTCAATGGTCTCTCTGGTGGCTGCAGATTGAGGTGCCCAGACATGGGGGAGAGAACGTGGGTGCAAGAGGAACCTGAAGAGAGTGTCAGCTGGAGAACTAATCTTCTGGTGTAGTTACATGAATGACATATTCTGCTTCAGTTTATTTTTAGTTTCTATTCCAGTAGGAACAGAATTTCCTAAGGAAAAATTCTGCTCTTCATGCATCTAAACAGGCCCATCTAGATACGTAATACATGATGCACAAGGCCAGGCACATTCTTACAAGTTTACCTGTCTAAGTCCAGAGACTAGGAAAAACCTTTAATGTAAATTTCATGTTATGAAACACCAACATCTTACTTTTCTCTTTCTTTTATGAAAAGCTCTTCTACAAAAGCTTGTGCCAATTCTACCGTGAAGCAACTCATTAGAACTCACATAGCATTTTAAGAATAACATCACCTAAGATAACTTCAGAGAGTTCTATGCTTTCCCATTTCTGCAACTTTCCATACTAAAGTGCTGTTCACTAAATCTGTACAAGGATCATATACGCAAAACATATTTAGGTGAAAATGCGTATGCCTCAGGGACATAAATATTTGACTTTAAAATAATATATGTAGGATTTATTTGTAAGCCACAGGAGAAGAGCTTAAATAGATCAGAGATACATGTAGGTAATAGGAATGCAAGTGACAAGTATCTGTTTTTCCCAAATAAGAGAATTAAACAAAAACAAACAAACAAACAAACAAACAAACCCCCCAAAAAACCACCAAAACCAAAACAAAGCAATTGACTATCATTAAAAATGGCAAAAATGTAATGCACATTATTTCAAAAGAAGAGATACACTGGGGACAATTATTAACAATACCTGTTAAATTGTTCTTTAACCGATCAGTTCATCAAATAGCTGGGTTTATATTGCAGCACCTCACTCATCCTAATTCTCAGGTCCCATGAAACAAGCAGCTAGATGCCTCAGAGATCACCTGTGCCCTCTGATGAGAGGGCATTTCAAAGCTGTGGAGTGCTGCCCATGACTGACTTACTGCAGATTTATGCAAGGTAATAAGCCTCAGTAACCACATATACACACATATTGCTCTTGAATTTGCAAACACATAAGTACGTGACTAATTCTAGCTTATGAATAAAGGCATGCATAAACTTACATCTGTACTGTTGGCAGAAGCCCAACTGCAGGAGCCTGTGACAGGCTCGGTCCTCAGTCTTCAGTTTGGGAGAGCTGAATGATGAACTGGACAGTCACACGAGATACCTGAAGTTAGAAGACTCACATAAGAATGCTACACTAGAGGATCACTCAGAAAAGATACGGAATTATAAATATACCTTCTGTGTTTGAATGTGTGGAGAGGAAAATTAACACTATTTTGCTGAAAGTCTGTTAGTGACCTAATTCTACGGGCAGCTATTGTGATGCTGAGCGTTTGCTCCCATTTTTGTCTGCAGCAATCACTGCCCAAATTCCAACCCAGAGTTACCTACTGATTAGCAAGCAGGGCAAAAGGATACAGCAGGGCAAAAGGATAACAGATAAGAATCTAACGTTTTCAAGGATACATTCTTGACATATTAACATGAGCTGCACCACTTATTAATTGAAATACGAGGAAGCAATGGGAAAACATTCAATTTTCAAACTATCAGTTATCACAGCTCAAGCAAAAATAAAAGTCCTCACAACTTATTCTGTATGGATAAGGTTACCTTACAAAAGCACTTGATCCAATAGCACAAAAAAACCCTAGGTATTCATTAGCAGTGGAAGTAGTTTCATCCAGTACACAGTTGATTTATATACAGGATCAAATGATTACTTTGAGCAGTTTGGGTCTAAGAGATCATCTGTTGTCGCAAGGGCTAAAACAATGCAACCATTTAGTTCAGTAAGGTTACTTGGTCACAGTTCTCAATTACGTGCACAGAGAAAGGATTTAAACTTAACCCACACATCAGACACCAGCGGAAGTGCCATGTAGCAGACCTCCTCTGAAAACTGAACATTGTGAAGAGTAAAACTAACTAAGTATTGGCAAATCTCTACAAGTGAGGGGGGAACTGACTGATAAAAAATAAGACTGGATGTGTTCCTAAAAAACTTCTAAATACGGGCTCACTAAAAATATAAGGCTTCCTATATTAAAGCATTTAGTTCACATTACACCAGTGTCAGACTAGAAGAGTCTTAATGGTGAAGAAACATAGTATACAAGGGACAAACTACAGATTTTGAGGTAAATTTAAAATAAGGGTCACATGACACCTTGCTGGATTTACATTCAGACTGATCCTGTCATTTGAAATATGTGGTAACATACGGTCAAAAATCCCTTCTTCCAAAAATTTCCCATCATCTTGAAAAAAGAGGCAGGTCAGTCACATTTAATTTGGAGCAGAAGGCTGTTCTATATTGGGAACTGTGACAATGCTGTTCTAGCAGATGAATTATGAGTTACGTGCCTTGAGACCTGTGCACTAAAAGACTTCCCACAGCCATGACCTTTGGAAGCATATGGAGCAGGGGGAAGAAGGGGAAAAGGAAGAGGAACAGGTAGACTCTAGGGAACAGATATTATTATCCTCACAACCAGGAGAAATCCTATGAGGAGTAAAAGAGTTTGTTTGACATTTACATTCACCTCACACACACAGTACCTCAGTTCTTGTTGCATATAACTCAAGACAACACTGAAGTTTACAATATAAATCACAATTTTGTTTTGGTTTTTTCTCTCTCTCTCCTCCTCTTTTTTTTTTTTCTGCCTAGAATTAAACTTTGAAAGCTTATCTCCTTGGTTTTAGCTCCAGACTAGCTGTAAAACCTCAGAGGTCAAACATGTCTTTTGCCGCAAGTGCTGAACTTGATCCAAAACATGAATTATTGTGAAAATTAGTTGTAATTGGAACACTTGTAACTTACATTCACCTTTGGACTTCAGAATCTGCAGAAGTTCCACCTATAATACTGACCACTATAATTTTCTTCTGACGTTCATTTGATTTAAGGAGGCTTTTGTTTTGGCAATAATATTAAAACCAATTGTTTAAAAAAGATATTTTGAAGCTCTGTCCTCACTGATTTTACAGTTAAGAGAGGACATTAGATCACCCAGTTCAAGAAGTGCAAAACCATGATCTGCCATCCAAACAGAGTTACATCATATGATGAACAGCACTGCTGTCTTGGCACAAGAGCTTCTGGATGACCATGCTAAGTCCTGTTTGGAAGGGAGAAAAGGCTGCCAGGCTAAGGCAGATACCATCAAACAACCCCAAAAGGAAACTGCCTGCCCAGACCAGCCTCATGCTGAGCAGTCATGGCTTTTCTTCCACTTTTCCAGATTTCCCTCTCATCTGGGTACTCTAAGGTATGTGGGATAAGCAACTCCCAATTATGCAAGTAATTTGAAATGCAGTTTATAAAGCTACAGAAAGCATGAATATCAGAGATGCTCAGACCACCCTGATAGACTGCAGTGTGGAGATGTCTTCACTCACAGCCTAAATGCTGTAGATGGGCTCAGCTTCACACTATTTGAGACCACCATGTTCAAATCTGGACTAGACATCTTTGCAGCAAGTGGCCAGGGTCACCATCTGCCTCCAGAAGAGCTTTTCCTGGGTTTCTGTGTTCAAAGTCCTTGAAATTAAAAGAAAGAAGTTTTTAAAGCTTTAGGCTGAAATGTGTATCACGCCCAAAGGCTCAATGTGGGGGGCATTCAAGGGCATAAAGCCAGCTTCAATAGAGCTGGCTTGCTCTGCTCACCACCTTAGCCAAGCTTGCCATAGGCCATATCCACACCATCCAGAATAAATGCTTAACTATGCTGTCTAGTCAACTGAGCTTGTATTTCCTCTTGGAGGGAAGTAACTGATTTATTCAGTGAGTAAAACTAGCTTAAATGGCTGGCAGTGGCCCAGAAGTAAAACATGGACAATTTCTGAGCCAGACTGACAGTGTAAACCACCTTCAATCACCCCTGCTACTTGTACCTTTATTATACCTTTAAGCAACTTGTGCAATAATGAAAAATTATGCAAGCATAAGAAGCATTCCAGCATACTTTTCAGACAGTGTTTATCACCTAAAGAAAACACTCAAATACACTGCTTTATTTAAATTCCATGATTATGCACTACAAACTACCAGGCAACCTTGAGATGAAACTATCAAGGTTCAGTCAATATTACAAAGCTGTTATCAGTGCAGCTGTAGGTATAAAGCAAGCAAAAATGTGTACCTCTAATTTTGGAATATGTGTATATTCCAAAAAGTACTCTTAACTGATGATCAAAACGCAGTAAGCTATATTGGCAGAGAACACTGGTGTAATGTTACTCATCAATATGGAATCATTCACTTTCTCCTCTGCCCTCCCCCCCAAAAAAACCCAAACCAAACCAAACCAAACCAACTGTATCACTGAAAGTAGCTGCCTGGCGAGGAAAATGCTGCAACATGAAATCAACCTCAAGGAAGTGCTACTTTATCTACTTAAGGATTAACACCAGGAGACCGAGGCTGGCTGAAAGGCTACGCTTTTGATTTTGCAGGAAACCACCCCTGAATTGCTGGGTTTACAGGAGAGAAAGGAGACTCTGCTCTCTGACAACACATGGCTCAAAAGAGGGGGCAGCTGTTACTAAAAGCAAGCTGACAACACAGGTGGTCCATCCGCTGCTGTGGGATGTGCTGAGGGTCTGATTTTTGGCAGGGTAGGAAGTGATGTAGAAGGAGCAGGGAATTGCTACAGTGCTGTCCTTGTTTCCATGACACGTGCTTTTATAACTTGTGCTCCCTGAGGTAAAAGGCATAATTTGGACTCAACAGCTGACAACTCAGCAGTTCTCTGCCTGTGGGATAAGGGAAAGCTGGTTCTGTTGTAGCAACAGTTGACCCCACTCCAGTGCCAGCTTCAGACAGTGCACAGAAAGGAGGGCAGACATATGCCCTTCAAAACCTTACACCCTGACCAACATTCATACCAATGGCTTAGGAGTTATTTTTAGTTTAAGCACTTTCTGCTTGCAGTGAAACTTGCTACTAGAAATGATTCCAAGAGACAGCAGCAGGGAAAGGCAGACAGCAGCAAAGTGGCAAAACCCCCTGCTGAGAATTTCTGGTGCTTGCAGGAGTGCAAGGACCTTACAGATACAGCGCAGGAGGGCTCCCACAGTCTGTAAATATAGGCACTGCAAATTTTCCAGAGAAAGGAGGATAGCAATGACCAGCAAAAAACTGAAGGTACACATGAAAAACAGGCCCCAGATATTTTTCTCAGTGATCGATAAGAACCTCCAGACATCACTCATTCTAAAACAATCTGTTAGCTTATAAATCAGTAAGAAAGGAAGGCAAAGAACACAGGGAACGAACCTCTGCATTTTCTGTATCCTAGCTGCCCCTCAAGCCCTCAAAGGACAGGTAAGAAAATAGGACTGTTCATCTAGGAATTTATATGGCCCTCATTGCCATGCTAATCATTTTGGAAAAAATTTACATGATTCTGGAAGATGAATCCTGGTGACATTTAAGCATCTATAAACCCCAAACTTTTGATGCTTCAACTAAAAGAAACGTTCAAAAATCCCACTTAACTGCAGCTAAGTACTGGAGAGGGGGAAAAAGAAAATAAAAGGAGAGGTTATGATAAATTTTGTAGGCATCAACATGCACAGATGCAATCTCATCTCTGAGAGAGCCACACCACCTGCATGATGCTTAGACACTCAAGATTCACAAAGAAATTACTCCCTGCCTGTATCTGCTGATAAAAAGTGCACAGAACCACAGAATCAGGTTCTACGCAAAAATGAGAAGCTTTTTGTATTAAGACATAGAAAAAGAAAGCAGCAGGAGTGTTCCCTTTTCTAAAGCAGCTGGGCCACTGCAGCACTCCCTGGGTATGGCAAACACCGCTGACCACCTCCAGAGACTACTCCAAGTGACAGACAAGTCAGGATGGAGACTTCTCTAGCCTGTCTGTCATTGGCATTTCTCTCTGAGGCTTAAGTAACCACTGCCTCAGAGCAGGACTCCATGTCCTTGTGAGAGGGCACTCACTGGAAGCAAGGGACCACGGACTCTAGGTCCTGCTTCCAAGGATTATTTTGATCTTTTACAGTTTTATGGAACAAATTGCATCAAACAGCTTTGGAGCACACAGCACAACCACCTCTTAAGTCCTATCTAGAAGCAATTTATTTTTCTTATATTTAGAGAGAAATTTGATGCCTGGTAGTCAGAAAGTAGTCATAACTAAATCTCTGGGGGAGAGACACCAAAACATTAATAATTTCAACTAATTCTAGCTAATTATGGTAACCAGAGTAAAACTGCCTTTCATACCCATTCTTCATGTCTTCCTGCAAATAAATCAGTGTCTAACTCAGAGCAACAGTGTCCTCTCTCAAAGAGCCATCAGAATTCTGTTTTTCTCAATCCTCCCACCTATTCAAGTATCTTTAAATCTCCTTCAGCAGACCTTTTCTTCTACTGTTAACATTCCTTCATCTCTCTATTTCTCATCCTCTTCCTATTCCAACATGTCTGAATCTAAGATCCCAGAGTTTCAATTATTACTGCATCCTAGATCCGTATGTACTATTGAAAATGAAACAAAACTAATCCCGAGAAGTTTTCTGGTTTCTTTATTCTGATTTTCCTTCCATTGTCTGAAACTTGTCTTTCAACAGCTAAGATAAAAACATTGCAAGGTAATATATACTATCATTAAAAACTATATCAGATCATTTTTGCTTTCATCCAACAAATGTATCAACACAACAGGACTGCTGAATTTCCTCTGCATTTGCCTGAGCACTAGCACACAGGTTAAGTGGAAAAGAACCTCATTCCCCTGGTCACATCATCTATTAAGTCATTTGCAGAAAAATGTAATCCATCTTCATCAGCTTTGTGATGCACTGCACTGTGCAAGACAGAGTTGGTATTTACACACATCTAGGCTGCTTAAGACTGCCAGTCTTCTGGAGGTTTCATCTTTCAGGTAATTTCTTACCAACACATGAAGTTTAAATACATCTTCATAAGGCACAAAACCTGTCAGTCACCCACCGGATTAAACAATCCAACATTCATACTCTAAGAGAGCTGTTTCGAATACATTGAGATACTCTGTTCTAGCATTCCCTATGGGTGTTTATAAATTCAGATATTTTTTGAACACTTACTACAGCCCTAAGCTGCATGATGTTGAAATAGATGTGACCTTATAGCCACAGATTTTAACTCAACAAGCATTTGAAAATTAAAGCCCTATGAATACCTGCTTAAATAGTAGCAACAACTTTGCCATCTATGAAAAAGTTTTCCTCTCTTTCAGAAGAGCATCCTCACCCAAATGGTTGTTACCATGTAGTCCTTATTTGCCTTTGGCAACTCTCTGAGAATGCCCTCACCGAAAGGTTAAGTCTCCCCCTTTCCACAGCACACCTGTAAAAGGATTTTGCACAATCTTACTCATAGATAGTGCTTGCCACTGGTTGCTCTAGGTGACTATAAAGCAGTGTGTTTGGAGAGCGCACAATGGAAACTGTTATCAGTTAATAATACTGATTAAAGTTTGAATAGGTGAAACAGCAATAAGATGAAAGGATGAAAAGACTCAGTAAACAGAAAATAAACAAAATAAGGTGACTCCCTAAAAGTTATACTCCAAACCAGCTCCAACTTAGAGATTTTTAAGCCTTCCATTTTTTGCTTTCTGCAACATTTTCCAGCTTAGATTATAGCCCTGCAGTCTACTGACACTAGACTGTCATTCCTTAGACCTCTCAGGAGTAATCTGCAGTCCCGTCTCCACTTAATGACCAGCAATTCATGCCGAGCAATACCAACCAACTGCAGATACAACTAGCGCTACTCATTCGGTGGGTCAACTCATGGCATTTGCTTCTGCCTCTTCCACATCCAAATCCTTCCCCACATCAAACAAATAATTTTTGTTTTGATCTTGATTCACACTGTGGTCAAATCCAAGAGACTTCTATGTCTACGCTTACCTTTATGTACAGAGTTCAACAGAAATCGAAGCTTACCTTTATCTCCAAAAGCATACAGCATACAATGGTTGACAAGCTAAGTACAACCACAGACTTTTTTCAGATCAAGGCATTCATGCATTCTTCCCTACAGGATGTACAAAGCTTTATATATAAAGCATGTGGGCACTGATGGATCTACATAAAGCAATACACTGTCTTAGTTAGCGTTGCCACATGCTGATTTGAGAAGGAACATGGCACGACATAGACTTTAATCTTTCCCACAGCTACTAAACCTGCTAAGTCTGATTAACAGTCTGGATTCATGCTGTGGGGTTGAACTAAGAGTTTAAGAAGAATTTAAAGAATTCTTCTACATTAAGGAGAAAAGGCAGAATGGACTGCCAGGTGAGATGTCAAAGGCAAGTCACACTGCCTTACTTAGGACAAGCTGGGTGTCAAAGACAGCAGAAATCTACCCAACACCCATGCTTCTCTGAAGGGAATTTGCCAGGGTATGGACTTGATTATGGAATATGAATATTTGACTATTTTTGCAATGGTGATTTGAAGTGTGAAATTCTGTGGAAAAGAATCAGAGTGACAAATCCTAAACAACAGCTCATGGTCCAAGTCTCCCCAGTATTAGACGATTATATTATCTATCCAGAGCTTACTCCCACTGGTACCAAATTTCCCAGACACTGACTACAATTAAAAAACAAACCATGCATATAACCAATTCCTACCAAAGCAAAACACAGCATGCCAGCACAATATGCCTCGTCTGAATATACTTACTCACGTTGAATTTTAACAAGGGAATAACGTTCTTTGCAGAACTACCTCAGAGGCTCTGAGAGATCCGTTTTCAAACACGATCTCTGCACACATTAGAAATTCAATCACTCAAAACAGACACAGCAAGCTCTGTCTCCACTGCGGCGGAGTCCTTGCACAGCCAGTGCGCAGCGAGGCACCCAGCATGTCTGGATGCTCCCCAAACGCAGAAGTGACTCTGGACTGCCCTCCCAAGGTCCCATGTTTCAAAAGGGTGCTGCTTATTCAAAGTAAAATAAAATAATATAAACCAAAATAAAATAATATAAAATAAAATCACAGTAAGAGGCATAAATAGTATTTACCCGCCGCTCAGTCCTTGAACCAGCCAACCTGCCGGCCAGCAGAATGAGCTGTTGACAAAACACAGCCTCTATTTAAGTCGCAGGCTCCGGGCAGCGGCGGAGAGGAGCCGCCGGTCTCCCTCGCCGCCCCCGGGGGAGGATCTACCTCGCTCCGCGCCGGCACCGGCTCCGACCCCGACCCCGCCGCGCCCCCGCCGCCACCACCTGTCCCCAGCCCCGGCGGAGCCAGAGCCGCAGGACCGCAGCAAGGCGAGCCGAGGGTCTCCGAAAATCCCCGCCGCCAGAACCCCCCTCCGCCCCTCCCGGCCGGCACCTCCCCGGGGCGGGCAGAGGGAGGGAGGGATGGAGGAACATCCATCAGTGCGCCCCTCGGGCCGCCCCCTCCCAGGTGTAAGCAGGTCCCGGCACTCACCCGCCGCCGCCTCGCCGTGCCCTGTGGCGGCCGCATTCCCGCGGGTGCGGGGGCTGAGCGCGCTCCCGGCGGCCCCAGCTCCGGCGGGCAGCAGTGCGCAGCGCCGACAGGAAGGAGGGATGCAGCCGCCGAGGGAGGGAAGGAGAGGGAGGGAGGCAGGGAGAGAGGGATGGAGGAGCGGGGCTGGCGGGCTGCCCGCGGGCGGAGCCTGCACCGCGCACCGCCCGCCGCCGCCCCCGGCCCTGCCCCGGGCACCGCCGGCTCCCTCCGCCCGGCCCGGCCCGGCCCGGCCCTGCCGCTGCTGCAGCCCCGGTGCTGCCGGGCCGGAGCTGGCCGGAGCTGCAGGGCCCCCGGTAGTCGTGTCGCCGGGGTGCGGTGGGGACTGAGCTGCTGGGGACACTCGGTGGCGTGGCTGGGTCCCCGGCGGGCTGTGGCGAGCGCCCTGCGCGGGAGGGTGAAGTCACGGACCTGATCTGAGCCTTTAAGGTTCTCTCTGATACGCGGTCAAATATTCTTCTTAGAAAAGTATCTTGAATGCCTCCAGCGCTGCCAGCCCTCCAGGGTTTGACGCAGTGGGCCTAGCCCTCCAGACCCAGGCGATTCTTGACTCATTTTATTTTAGTATTTGCCTCTAGTTTTTGAGGTCTGGGACTTGACCTCCAGCATTTCATGGAAGCCACAACAGTTGCATGCCAGCCTCTCTTTTAAATTAAATTTGAAATCTTCACAATCCCACAGTCTCAAGAGTCTGGCAATTAAAAAAAAAAATATGCCACGAGACCTATAAAATCAGAAGAGTTGGCAAGCTTGTGGCTCCTCTCTTGTGCCCTAGTCAACCACAGGAGAATGGGGAGAAAAAGTAACTGCTGGATTTTCCTTGCATTTTTCTGCCTAGGTTTTCCAAGTTGCTGCAGATTGTTTGTCTCAGAACCCAGATGATAGGGAACTGCCCTGTATGAAAGTCCTGGGCCAGACTTGTGTCCCATCTTGGCTAAGTAGATGACTTCAGGTCCCCAAATCCAGATTCTCCTGCCATCCTGCATGTCTAAGTGAATACAGGTTGTGTTGTAGAGAAGAAATCTGCCCCCGTTTCCTCCCCTTTCTAGTGTTTTTGCTTGTGCAAACAGAATTGCATCTTATGAACCTTGTGGTTGGGTGATGCATCAAGATATGTGACTTCAGATCTGTTCTGGCTCAAGGACATGTTTGACTTCAGACCTTGAACCCTGAGACTTGTCTATGGTTTGGCCTGTGTCAAGTGAAGAAGGATTGAGACTCCTTATACACATACCATTCTTGGATTTTTTTAAACATGATTTCAGGAAAAGCCCTAGGCTGTGAATCCCAAGCACAACGTGGTGTCTTCTCTTGATACACATGGAAACACTCTTAACTCCAAGGATGGACAGACTTTAAGAGAAGACTCCTATTAGGGGTCTTCTATTTGGTAGGTTTAAGCAGTTGCCTTTCCAGCACATCAGTCAGCTTCTCACAATGCCAAGTCTCTCAGCACTGAAAAGGTCTGCTGGATGGCTAATTCTGTGGTGCAGACTTCACTCCAGGCACAAAGAGGTTAGATATGCAACCTTCCTAAGAAAATGTTTCCATTTAGTTCCCATTCAAGCCCAGAAGGCCTCCTACCCTATTTCCATGCAACAGCAGCCAAATCACAATGAAACTGGGAATACCCATGGCATCATAAAGCCTGGGGAGAAGGTGGACATTTCATTGTACACCCTTGTCCAAGAGAGGACTGCCTCTGTCTTTCTCCATTTCCAGGTCTCACTGACTGAAGCCCGGTGCCTTTCCTAGAGTCTGCATCCATTTCTTTTCTGCAGCTCCTGTTACCTCAACTTTAGCAAAGGCTCACAGACATTATACTTATTAGAAAGCCCTGTACCATGTATATGGTGCCATCAGTAGTTGTGGAAGATTTTGAAAATTTTCTAGATCACAAAACCAAGCATTTTTACCATTTTTCTTTTTAAATAGTAAGGTAGCTTCCCTCTGATTTACAGACATTCTGTACAGGAACTGTGGGTGTTTGCATTTTTTTTAAGCAGGAAAATTTAATTGTGAAATTAGAAGAAGCTGCCAGGAGAAATCAGAGGTAGGAGTAGTTCCTGATGTTATTTTAAGGATTTGATATTGTATTGATGACTCAATTTTTAATGACTCAGTTGGAAGTTAAGAAACATTTTAGATTTCATATCATATAAAACAAGTCTATATAGCGCAAGTTTCAAGGTGAGAAAACTACAAGTGGTTGGTATCAGTTATCTCTTTTTTATACAGTGAAATATGCTAATTTTAATATAAATATCCCCTAGACTGGGCAAAAGACTGGCCTAGTTACCCCACTACTTCTGATCTGCAGGAAGTATGCTATACTTGCATCCAATCTAATCATGACACCTTCTTCATAAAATATCACAGCTGCTCTATTTTATTGTGAAATTTATCTGCACATAGGACATATATGCAGGCCATTTATTTTGCTTTGTGCCTTATCCAAATCTTCCAGAAAACTGAAGGACAGATGCTGTAATGTACAACTGTGTCTTTATATACTCAGTATAGGACCTTGTTGTTGATGTCAACAGCAGCAGGGCTGTGCCTTTCAACATTAATATTTTGGACAGTGAAAGAGGAAGGTTTAAATCTCTACTGAGAGTAGGCTAGGTTTAGTTTATCTTAGTCTATCTCTGGGCTTACTATTACTTAGAGAACAACAGATCTGCTGTCTAGGTCAGAAAAAGGTTCTTGAGGCATGTAAATTCCAAATGAAAGTGAGAAGCCCAGCTAGGACGTTCTCATTAATGAGAGTTTCCTGGAGCCATTTAGTCTTGTATTTAAGGGTGTGTTGGTTATTTATGGCAGGGAAAAGGAACGGATGTGTTGATGTTCTGGAACTTTTCCTTTGTGCATTGTTTCCCATTTCACAGTTGTATTTGGCACCCACTTTCCTCCAGCCAATAAAGAATATTAAAGAACTTCCTTTTCTGAGAAGTTGTGCACACATTTTATAAACCATACAGTTTAACCAGAAGTGTGAAAGGTAGTACTTCTACCACCATTTACAAAAGCCAGAGATTGCAAATATATAATAGTGCAAAGGTCTGCCAATGGTTGATTTTATGGACTATCTATTTCTGTTTTCTTAGGAAAAAAAAAAAAAAGGATTATATAATAGAACCAACAAAGCAAATTTTGGTCTCACTGAATGTATTCAGGAAAGCCAATAACAAAACTCAAATTGGCTGTGATAAATGCAGGAGTAACCTCTGTTCATGCCAAGAATAACCTTGAGTACTGTGGATAGTGCATGTATTTTGGTACACTCACAAAACAACAGTTCTTTCCTATAAAGTCTCAGTGGAAGCATCCCTGTGTTGTCAAGTTGGTGCAGAGCTTTTCTTGGAAATGATGTTGCTGACTCCAGACAAATAAACCCTTGGTAATTAATATTTTTCAAATACAGAGAATTTTCTTCATCATTAGGGACCTATGCTGGTGAACTCGGGGACATGTTGGCAATATATTGCTAAAGGGCTTCAAAAACTTCCCTGGTCTCCCTTGTCTGAAGGAAAACCATGCTGTCTATTGTGGTTTTTGCATTTGCAGGGAGAAGCAGGGAAGGACTTTGATCTACTGACCTGAACTAACTTTGATAGTGCCATGAATTTAAAAAGAAATGGAAAGAAAAACACTACTTGCCAAAACCAATTAAATTTAAGGCACTTGCAATCCTTCCATTGGGAAAAAAAAAATTACCTCAGATTCCTGGGAAATGCATGGTGTTGAAATACCAGATTCACTACCACTAATAAGACCCTTATGGTCAGCAGTGAAGGTAAAGGTTCTCCCAGGCAGAACAGAGATGATAGGTGGATTGCATTGCCACATGTTGCCAAGTGTTAAGATATTTGTATCTTACGAGGGTCAATTTGTGTGTAAAACAGAGGACAAGGGATACCAACTGTTAAGTCTTCATGAAGTGCATTGGGTCTGTCTTGACTGGCAACAACAAACAATTCGTTTGAACAGGCCTTTTATATGTTCCTGAAACAAGTTGTTACGTAATGATTTTGCCTCAGACCTTTCCTTGCCTTACAGAACGTTTGGAAAAATTTCTACCTGTTTCCTTTTTTCCTTGTTTTCACATCTTTATAGCTACTGTTTGTCTTCATCTTAGGAAGATGTTATCTGAGCCTATGTTATGTTTGGAGGGGTGACAAGTTGCCTATGCTATGGTTATTTAGAGCAAGGGAACTGAGCTTTTGGTTTTGTCTCATGATCTTGATGTAATCAGCACACTCTTCACCATTCCTTGATTTGACTGCAGTGGTTCATGCTCATCATGTCCATTAATGTTCATTCTTTCCACCCTTGCTCTAGTGTGGCTTCTGATGCTCCCACAAGTAGGCATTTCCATTTGTATTTCATTCAGATGAGTCTTATTAATACCTCAGTTACAAATGCCTACAGTAGCTAAAGTGAACTAATGCCTGAGATGGGACTTGCTGCTGAAGATCCCCTGCTAAAACAATCTGCATGTTGTAAACTGATTAACAGCTGCAGGCCCATTTTTCAATCTAGGCACTTGTGCCATCCCATAGGTGATTATACTGGCAGTGTAAAGGGCAACACATGCTTAATCATCGTGTTGGATGCATCACATTGCTGAGTCTTATACAGTAGCATGAGAGGTCAGTCTTTGAGACAGTGAAATAAGATACAGAATAGTTCTTGGAAAGTAATGAAGCTAAATACACATTTCTGAAGAAACACCAACAAATGGTAACAATTCTGCTGATTGTGGAAGAGTTAGTGGACTCAGTCCTAGAACTAAGTCTGACTCATGGACATGTAAGCCTGAAAAGGCTTACTTCGTACAGTAGTGGAAGGGCCAAATTGCATCACAAAAAAGAGAATTTACAAGAGTCAGAAACTAATTTGGTTGTGTAATAGCCACAAAAGCATGGAAATCTGAAAGTAAAAGATACTGAGAATAACTTGGACATTCATATGCTAGTAATATTGCAAGGCCCTTCATTGGCTCCCTGGCATTAGTGTATCACATGCAAACACACTGCCCTGTTCTGTGCAACTT